AAAAGATTTCAAAAAGCAAAAATCTTTACTCTTTGCTAGAGAAGAGGCTCAGTTTTCCAAGCAATCAGAAGACCTGACAAAGACAGCACGAAAAATTCGCTAGGTGTGGTAGTACTCACCTGTGGCCCCAGCTACGTGGGAAGCTGAGGTGGGAGGATCATTTGAATTTAGGAGTTGGATGCTGCAGTGAGCTATGATCACACCACTGCACTCAAGCCTGGGCAGCAAATGAGACCCCATCTCTGGAAAAATTTTTAAAAATAAATACATAAAGACAGTATAAGGCAAACTCTCCCCCTTTTTCCGTTGTTGCTCATTCAAAAGGTGGACAAAAATCTTTTACCATCTCTTATTAACACTGCAAAAAACTCTTGTTCAGAAGAGAAAACCAAAGACAAATACAAAGGAAAAGATCGTTTCTGAGCGGGAAGGATCAGGCAATATGATATTCATACCAAAAAGTACAGCAGAGTCGCTACGCCCAAGATTGATTACATAAATCTTTTCCTCCCATTAATCAAGATCTTGGAGAGGAGAAAGACACACAGTGGTTTTTACTCTCTGTGCGACTGGATCCCACGGAGAGGCCAGGAGCCTGGCTGGTGGGACTTTCTTACCCTTCCACCGGCCTGTCAGGTCCTGGGTCCCCGTGGCTGCAGCTCCTAGAAGAGCAGGGTGGCTTTGGTTTTCCCACCAACTACGCCAACACTGTGGGGCCAGAAAACCTCTCCTTTACCCTCTGAAGGCTCACTGAAAATCAACTGACAAAAGGCAGTTACTAAAAGGCACGTGGATTTATTAACATGCACGGCGCAAGCCACAGAGCGATTACCCCAAGCCCCCAAGGGGTCCAGAAGTTTATACGGCATCTTGAGGTTACGCAAAGAACGGGTCCCCTACGCGCAGAACAGGCTGCGGGGAGGTGGCTTGGCTAGAAAAGGTGGTCTTGTCACATGGATGAACCTCGCAGGCAGCAGCCCTCAGGGAGAACAAACGACCGTTTCTCTCAGACCCATAAACGTGTCAGACTCTCAGCGAATCTTCTCTGAACCACACGAGGGAAGAAGGCCCCAGAGAAAGCCCGGCCGTGTCAGCGCAGACCCTCTCTACAGACGCGGATCTCCCCACAAAAGACGGCTCTTTAGCTAGTCTCGTGTTCTCGTCCCCTCTGAATGGCCATCTTGCACTATGTCAAGGAAATATATTTTGGGGTGAAATATTTTGGTTTCCTTCAAGACCAAAAAGGTTAAGTCCAAGGTTGTCCAGTG